GTCCTTCCCAAGGACCTGGGATAGGCAGATGTTGTTGCTTGATGGTGTTAAAGGTATTGTCGCAGGATGTAAGTTGTTATTGTTGTTGCTGTTATATAGGACTGGAGAGAGAGTAGAGTCCTGAGGAATTTCCCAAAGCAGGGGCTTAGAACTGGACCTCTCCCACCAACTACCACTGGCTGGAAGCAGACTCAGAGGAAGAAGGGGCACCACAACACCACACCCTTACTCCTAGCTCCCTAAACCAGGATAAATGGGATTGATGGTCACTGAGATGCTAAGGAAGACCAGGATGGATGCACCACCATCATCCCACTTCTGCCAAAGATCATCAACAAGTGTGATCAACACAGTCTTTGAACTATGCCCAGGTCTGAAACCCAACTATTTTAAAATACAGATTGATGCTGAAATTGAATTCACTTTCAAATCACATGGAGGTCTAATACAGGTTTGAAATACACCATCCAATATCATATGCTGCTTGAGTTGACTTATTCAGAAAATACAGGCATGGAAATGCTGATACCACATTGTTTCAATCAGTTTCAGAACAAAATGATGAGAATTTCTAGGAATATATTTAAATTGAGCTGAAAGGGTTTGGGGGAGAGGAATCATAAGGTATATCAATTTAAAAGTTGAAAATAGGGAGTTTTTCCTCCTTTACTATTTGACCTACTTTAGTTCCTACTTAGTATTTTGTCCAAAGTAAACTGGGGACAATCTGTCATTTATTGTTCTTGCCTCAGTTACTCTTGACCAGTTTATCTCAGTTCTGCTTTCCTGCCTCCCAGTTATGTGCTGTTGTGAATATGACTTTAGATTAACCTCTATTTTTGCATTATCTGTATAGATTGACTCTAGCTATAAATTTGAACTGGACCTTTCACTTCGATACACATCAGAAAGGAGCATGACAAGAGGCAGAATTTTCATCTGAGTAATACGCAGGGATCTGGAAACAAATCACTGGATGATACTTGCCGTGAAATGGCTATTCTTGAAGAAACTATCAGAAAAATCCAACAACTGAAGCTTTTTATCTAAATCTTTAAAATCTATAGCTCCTGCAATGCATGTAAACATGGGGCTAAAAGTACTGGAAAACCATGATCATGCTTCCTTAAAATCTATATCAAGCAAAATGTTCTCAGTTTTAACTTTTTGTTTATATGGTGGATGAAATAAGATAACCTATCATGTGGTACTGGATGATGTGAATGAAAGAAACCTGTCTACATGAAATTAAGCAAATGCAGAAGCCAAAAAGTTATAAACAAAGATATTTTAATAGATTTTTAAATTAGTCTCTCTTTTATGGAGGGAAGATTGTATTCCAATATTCATAAGTATGATAAACTTAATAGAATACAGCAGGGGGCATGGCATACAACATTATAATTTATTTAGCTAAATAGCCTAATCTGGATCCAATTACCTTTTGAGTTTTGTTGAAGTCTAAAAATATATACAGGATAAAACAATTTTCTCTGTGGGGAGAAATATTCCCGACACATGATATCTTTCCAGAAAACCCCAATGATAATAGGAGGCACAATTTGAAACACAATTGTGGGTTTTGTGTGAAAGAGGAATAGTAATAGTAAGGAATAATGATAACTCCTGAATGTAATGCAGCTGACAGTCAGGGGCTGAAGGAAAAGAACCTTAAAGACTGATCTTTTCTATAAAAGACAAGAGTCAATAACAGCCAGTTAGAGACAGATCATAAACATTGTCATATAACTGCTAAGAACAAAAAAGGTCAAAACAACATTCACAATTTCTCATTGTAACTACTTAACCATAATGGATAATAGATTTGCAAGGTTCCTCTTGTACCTTAGCTGATCCAGAAGCAAACTGATTCAGCTGCTGAAGAGAGAGGTTGGCATGGGATCACAGAAGTGCAGAGCCAGTCCTGGAATGGTGCAAATACCCCAGAAATGCCTTTGGGATCAATACAAAGAAGTTGGCGTTAAAAGAGCCAGATGTAGATGTGCATATACAAAGTGACCTAGACTGCACCTATTACTAAATGTGGACATCATAATATAGGAGCTATGCCTCCAAGTTACAGAGGCAGATTGCAAGGCATAAAAAAATTATGTATATTCTGGATCAGGCTACCAAAAAACTGCTTCCTAGCACTGGCACATTCTTACAGCATCTTTTCAATGCTATATAGAAGTTACGTTCAAGGCCTGGAGGCTGGGGAAAGAATGCATGGCAAACATGCGCAGCCTTGTTCTCTTGCTAGGGATTCAGTTAATCCTGAATGGGTGAATATGCCAAAAGGAGAATATCAAGCTGAGCATTTTCCAGGATAGGTCAGTACTGAAATGCTGGCATTTCTGCAAATTTATTTTCAAAATAGACATATGATTGATGTACATTTGCAAATGGTTATAAAGCCTACATATCTTCTTGGATCCCATGTTCATATCATCTACATAAATATGAATTCCAATAAATGTGCAGCAAAGAGCTAGGCCAGTAGACACAATCATCTCCCCGACCCCCACCTCCTGCCATGAATAAAAGGTAAAGATTCCCTTAGGTTGAGCATGTCTCATGGTTCTGGTTCCATGGATGTGTCTAGATAGAGATACACAGACAGACAGATATGAATATGGAAGTAATTTACCATTGCCTTTCTACAGGATGTTGTTCCGACTTCTCAATCTAGCCCTCAGCCTTGTATTTCCTGGTTCCCTCTCATCCAAGTACTAATCAGTTCTAACTGTGCTTACCTTTTTGAGATCCACCAAGATTGTCTCTACTGTATGTACTTATACAAACATACTTTCTGCATGGTTTGATGCTGATCTAAAAAAGGAAGAGAGAGCTACTGCAATTCAAGGACTGCATAGAAGAAGAAAAAGGAGAGAAATTACAATTGCTGGAGCTAACAACTCAACTGTGAAGATTTATAAGGCCAGTCCTCCTCTACAATTGTCTACCATGATCCTTACCCAATTTCTGGATATTTCCTTATCAGCTTAAAGTCACCAATGATGATAATTTGTGGGTTACTATTATAAGTTATTACTATCTGGAAGATTCCAAAACTAATCCCTCTGTATTAAAATATGGCACATTCCCATATATGAGTGCCTATGCTGACAGAATGCTCCCTAACAGAGTTTGTTAATCATACAGTCTTTAATTTCATCCAAAGGCAGAACAGAGATAGGAGTACAGCTGCTAGATGCTCTATCTATAGCCAGCTAGCCTCTGCCATAGAACACTTGTCCATTATGAACCATACTGTATGGCTGTCCACTCCCCGTTTAGTCTGTGGTAAGGAAATGTCAATACAGCACTGGGCTACCAAGCAAATACCAAGGACACAGTAGACAGAGACATGTCAGTAAATCAGTAAGACCTGCCTGAAAATATTGGTCCTGGGACCAATGTCCTTGCTTTTGGTCGGTAACCAGGGCTGTGGTAGGCCTTCCCCCATGACTGCAGGTATTTTTCTAGAAGCCCACCTTTTTTTCATACAATGGCGTGGGAGCTCCCTGATTTGTTGTTGCAGCATTAAAATAACGATCCATTTCCCATTCCAGTTGTTATCCAAACTCACACCCACACATTGCCAACTCGTTTATCTAAGAAAAAATGAGGATATTCAGAGAGGAGAAATAAAGTACCATGGGGCTGCTGTCATATTGCATTAGCAGAAAGCTTGGCTCCTTTTAACATATTTTGACTAAGCTGATGCAACACATTCCTGGGACTCTAAGTAACTGACTTCTTCCATAAAGAGGTTCTGTGTCTCTTCTCCCTCCCCTTTCTAAGTCTGCTGCCATCTGTCTCACTTTAACCTTAGAACTCTTTGATTCCTGCTGCTTCCAATTAAAATTGTAGTATTAGGAGGACCTGAGAGCGGACGCTAATCTTGCCACAAAAATGGTTGCATGTAAAGACTTAATAGTAGTACAATAAAACTCTGCTTTGCCGCTCTCTGCCCCTGATCACCCTCCCCCAAAACATTTGAACTGAGGGAAGCAGAGGAAAAATTGTGTGAAAATATCAAAACACTATATATAAAACCTAAGCATTTTTCTAGCAAGATCAAGGACTTTTTCATTCTCTTTGTTCCTCTAGAGTTTTTCACATACATGAAAAGCATAAAAACTGTATTATAGGATAAGATTGGGCTATCAATAGCTAGTAGACTTGGTGGCCGTATTCTATGTCCTGAACACCAGGTGCTGGAGCGTGCCAGTGAAAAAGAGCTTCGTTCTGCTTGTGCACGTGAGCTTCCCAAATGCACCTGGGTAGCCCTGTGCCATTCAAAATGCTGGACTACCTGAACTTTTGGGCTGGGCCAGCCTTGTTCTTCTTACATCATCTGAATTGTAGCTCACCCTTAGGGTGAACCAATAACATGTCCAAATGCTGTATGTTACATAGGACAGTCTTTTAACCGAAGGACAGCCGGAGGACAGTGCTCTACTTTGAAAACTCTTCAACAGCAGGGACCTTGAAATTGTCCATTCATGGTTCATTCTTGAGCATCAGATTAAAGAAGCATACAAATCACCAGGTCACAATCTTCTCCCTATGTCTGTACAGGGCTATAATTCAATAGATTGCAATTGTAAATGTACATAGGTACATATATGTGAGAAAATGAAAATATGCAGAACTATATTAATGTATGTCATCTTTGGGACAATGTGTAACTGACCATGATATGAACAAACAACTGCATGTAAAATGTGAACATTTCATTCAGAGTTTTCCAATAGAAGCAACAGTTAGAGGAGAGCTGCTAATCTGTTTTGAATTAGTTTAGAATATTATAGTTTATGATGATGAAATCTGTGATTATGTCATTTCTTTCTATATTTATGTAGTTTGGCTTTCAATAATATCATACACATTTGTCTACTAGTTTAAATAACATATTGTGAGTTGAGCTTGCAAATTATAAAGGACAACAGGTAAAATTAAGACTGAGCAAGTTACACATGAATGCAATTTATATATACTAAAGTAGAATCCAGAAATGGTCACAATCATATTTAGCTCCCAGTGCTTAAATTAGAGGTCGCCAACTGCCATCCCTTGAGTTGGATCCTTCTTTTAAGACCATTTACCTGGTTGTAGTGAAAATCTTTTGAATGTATAGCATAAGAGTTTGTTCCAGCTTCAGACCTAAGCAACAGAGTTCTATAAGAAACAAGACATTCTATAGTTTAATATATTTTTTGCAAGATGTAAATATATTTGCACTATATCTAGCGAATCTAAATATATCTAGCAATGCTATGGTTGTACACATTTGCTTCATAATTATGAGGTGAGATCATTATTGCAATTCTATTATGAAGCCAATGGGTTAGTTTGTGCAGAAAATACCAGCCCCAGTTGTAGGAGTGGACAAACCTCAGGCTACATGTCTTCCCCTCATTATGCCTCCCAAATGGACATTGTTTTTCCAAAATAAGGAAGAAATGGAAACAAGTGACCTTTAGAAGGCAAAAATTGACCTTTAAGAGACTGCCTGAAAGCACAATAGCAGCCTGAAATTGTGAGATTTTATGGTGTTTGGGTTTTTTAAGCATGGAAATTGGAATAGGTTGCTTCCCAAAGTTTGTTAATTTCCATTCCTATCTTTTTAAAAATGACAAAAACTGAAAAACAGGTCAAAATAAGCTGTTCCTATAAGTGTCATTTGTAGAACTAATCTCATGTGCAGTCCTCCAGCAGCTTGGGAGAACAAGTTGTGGCCTCCTGATTGTGTCCTGGAGAATTAAGTGACTCCTAAATTCAGAAGAGGTGGTCATCTGTGATGTTAAGTCAACTTTTCTCAACTTGGCATCTTCTAGATTTATTGAGACTGCATCTTCCTAGAATTCTCAGCCAGCATGGGAGAACACCATATTGAGAAAACTGGTTTCAATTAATGGAATATAAGCAACTATTCTAAACAAATTAAACATATGGTCACAGACGTTTGCTAGATCCTTCATTAAAATTTGTATTTTTAAGATTTTCAAGGGATGCTTAAATGCCTGACTTTTCTAAGTCATATTTATAGCCTATATTTAGTTATTTATTTATTTATTTTCAAATTTGTATGCCACCCATCTCCCCCAATGGGTAACTCTGGGTGGCTCACAATAAGAAAAAATAAGAAAAAACACAGGACTCTCCAGACATGGACATAATCTATAAATAG